AGGTAAGAAAAAAAAAGTTGTTGAACGTAAGTCTTCCAAATAGGTGTTTAAGCTTTGCTACTGACACAATAAGAGGAGCACATTCTGTGCTCATTAGGTGCGTGCTCATCACCTCCCTCTAAATCAACTTGAACCATCTAAATTAAATTACTCTTTTAATTTTTTATTTGTTAAAATAAAAATTTATAAAATTTTAAATAAATATATTTATTATTAACATGTACCATTCATATTAATCAAATTAGTCTAATTTTAATATTAATTTTCTTATAATTCTTATAAATTGACAATACAAATTTATTTTGAGCTGTTTTGAATTCGACAGTATAACGAGTCAAAAATTTTGAATCTATAGACAGTATAACAAGTTAAAAATTTTCAATATGAACAGTACACACTAAATCTATATGATGAATTTATAAAAATTATAAATAAATAATATTAAATTTAGACTAATATGATTAAATATAGGCAGTACATTTTAATAATAAATATATTTATTTAAAATATTATAAATTTTTATTTAAAAAATAAAAAAATTAAAAAAGTAGCTTAATCTTAATCTAGACGATCCAAATTGGTTCAAAGGTGATGAGCACTATTACTTACCACCACTGATGAGCGCCTAATGTGCTCCACATACTAAATTGTTATTGTGCTTGTATGAATTATAAGCATTTTTATATTTTTTTTTAGTTATGTGATTGGCTTGTTATCCTACCTAATGGGATAAGGTTGTATATTATCGTAGTTTTTTTGGCTGCTCACAAGTATACTTGGACAATCATGTTTGAGATATTGTCTAACATTACATGAAGATTCCAACATTAATTTGTCTTTTTGTAAAAAAATAATTCTTTCCACTAGATCTAACCGTTGGTATTTATTATTATTGAAGCTGATTGACTCACTCTGTTACATTATACTTGATGAATTCTTACTCCTTACATCTAAGCCATCTTTTTTTTTTTTTTGGGTGCCATTTTTGAGAACTCATGTATAATTTCGGCGAACAAAAAAGAAAAAAAGAACTCATGTATAATCATTTCATTACAATGCTAACATTAGATTCATAATAGATATTATATATACTTCAAAAAACAAAGGAAGCTTTATTATTTACTTGACACATGACTTTTGTATATGGATTTTTTTTCCCCAAATAGTTGAGAATGTGTTCACCTGCCTACTGCGGAGTCTTTTTTTCCCCCCTTTTTTGTACATATTTTGTTTGGGATATACATGTATATATGCTTTTATTTGTCCAGATCTAATTTAAAAGTATCAAATCCAATAGGACCTGCATGATCCCTTTTTGGAATCTTAAGTTAAATAATGTTACTAATATTTTTTAAAGAAATATATAGTATTGATTATATTTGAAATATATAGTATCACCAGCCATCATAGTTGTCAAACTTTTGAATTGACTCTATGAGTTTAACATTTTTACATTTCCAACTTACAAAATAATGTTAACTCACTCATAAACTCAGATTAGATACAAACTCGATTAAACTTACGAGTTTATCTCTGAGTTTACTTTTTTACATTTCTAACTTACAAAATTATGTCAATTAATTTATAAATTCACACTATTAAAAAATATAAATTAGCGAGGGATCATCTATTTTTCTCTAAAATATCAAATTTATGAGAAAATTAGTGAGGAATATTAATTTCATAACTTGATTAAAATTAACAAAAAAAATAACGAGGGACTGTCAATTCCTATTTAAAATAAGACAATATAGTGAGAGATTGTCAATCCCTCTTTAAAATAAAAAAATTAGCTGAAAAAATAGTGAGGGATTCCCAATCTCTTTCTAAAATAAGATAATTAGCGAGAGATTTAGCAAGAAATTCTATCCCTAGCTAATTATTGCCAAAAAAAATTAACTTTTGACAATGACTTTTAATTATATATTTAATTATTTTCATTCAAAAATAAAAATTTAATTTAAAAATTAACTAAAATATTCAGAATAAAATTATTTAATATTTAATATTTTCTTTATTTTAAGTTGATTTTCATTAACAAAATAATATTGTATGAAAAATATTTTATAAAGAATAATTTTAATAAAATATAAATATTTTTAACATATTAATAATTGAAAATAAAATTTAATATGTATATATATGTGTATTTTTATAATATATTATTTGATATATTTATGTAGTTAAATAATATATATTTAATTTTTTATATAATGACTGCAGACACCTTTCAATTCAACTAACAAAGAATAAGAGTATAAGGCTTGAAAGATATGAGATCAAGGATTTAAATCTTAGTTTTGGCATAAATATAATGAATATATGACATGATAAGGAGCAAGTGACTGGCATAAGATGGACAATGACATGTTATGAGTTGTCGCACACGTAGCGGGTGATAGGGCACGAGATGGGTAGGTGACATGGCGGTTGACGAGATACAAAGTTATTAATGACATGTCATAAATTAACGTACACATGACGAGTGGCATTACTATTTTTAAATATAAACATATTTAGTGAGAAACTAATCCTTCATTAAAGTTATCAAATTTTAAATAGTATTTGCAAGGAATTAGTAAAGGATCCAGTCCCTCGCTAATTTTAGTGAGGGACATACAATCCCTCGCTAAATTTAGCGAGCCATTTTTTCACTACAAATTTAGCAAGGGATAAAATCTGTCATTAAAAAGAAATTTAGTGAGGAAAAATGATATTTAGTTAGAGATTTGTCCCTCGCTAACTTTTTGTAGTAGTGTCATACTAGATACAAGCTTAGCTAAACTTGTTAAGTTTGTCAATTTTTTTTTTTGAGTTTAACGAGTTAAGTATATATTATAAAAAATTTAATTCATAAAAGTTATAAGACCTAGTTCAAAAAAAAAGACTTGAAATACAAAAATTAATATTTAAAAAAAAGAAAACAAAAATATTAAAAATAAGTTTCCCTATTTTAGAATTTTTATGTCTTGTATATGTCAATTTATCAATGTAGATATGTTTAATTTTAATGATTTATATTTTTAATATATTTAAATCAAATTACATTCATATTTTAATGGCTATTTGTTAATAAAAGTAAACTCTTATGAATTTACAATCTGAGTTCGTGATATGAGCTAACATTTCTATCATAAGTTTACTTAAACTTATGAGTTTAACAACTTTGCTAACTACTATGATTATTGAGAGTATGTAATATATAAAGCTCTCACAATTAAAATTGTTATATATATAAGAGTTGAGATTTGAATACCTAACTACTCATAAGTAACTAGAGTTTTGAATACTTACATTAACTTTAGTTGGTTTTTTCACTTTGATGATCTAATTAGCACATTCTTAGCCTTCGTTCGTGAGATGAGATGATATTCAATCTAACTCCTTTGTTTAAAAGGAAAATACACTCCCTTCATCCTATTTTATAAGACATTTTTTATAAAATTATGCATGCTAATAAAATTTATTAAATACACTTTACAAATATAAATTTTTAAAAATATCATTAATTTAATATAATTTTATTTGTAAAACATTAAATAAAGAAAGAAAATTTAATAAAAAGGGAAGAGTAATAAGTACTATCAATAAAAGCTTATTTTATTAAAAAATCTTATCTTTTGTATCACTGAGTCATATTGAAAAGCATCTTATGAACTAAGATAAAAGTAAAAGTAGACCACAATAAAACCATACAAAAGGAAAAAGAAAATATTGAATTAAGATTATTAACCCAACAAGGTTGGATCTAGTTGAATATGCTAATCATCACAACATAGTGAATTCACATTTAAATTCTCATTAAAAGATGTGTTTATGTTAGTATCTAATTGCACCTCTGACAAAATTATCTTTGATAATAAGAGTATATATACCTATGCACAATTAAAAAAACTTAGGCTTATCACCAACTCTTCCTATATATAAGTCACCTTTTAAAAAAAAAAATAGTTATCTGTTCAGTCACCTTATGTAAAAAGATAGATCATTAATTCGTAATTATTTTTGAATTTGACCCTTTGAAATTTTTTTGTGAACAGAGTAAGATGTTACATGTGAAGGAGAATGCATTATTAAACATGATGCATTTAATAAGAGAAAATTAAAAAAAACAATAATTTAACTATTTTTTTAATTAGAAATGATTTATATATAAAATTCAAGGGATATGCTTCATTTATTTGGCATTATAAGATATATATTTTTAAAATATCATGTTGAAAATATAAAATATTTTAAGTCTTTTAAGACATAATTAATACATTTTTTAAAAATATTTTTATTACATAGTCTTTCCATTAAAAAATATAAGGCATTTTTAATTAAATCTCATCTTAATAAAGTAGTTACCTATTTTTAAACTAACCCTATTTTTTTATATTTACTCTTATTAAACACGTTGCAATAAATATAAAGTCAATCATTGATAAAGACACTTTAAAAAAAAAGATAAGATTACACCTCAAAAGATTAAAAATGCCTTACATTTTTTAGCATCTAACTCCTCAAAAAATATCTTATATTTTTTAATAAAAAAATATTAATTAAAAAATTTTAATTGAAATAATATATTAAATAAGTATAAATTTACAGTGTCATTGCTCACTGATGATCATTGAATTTAACTCTAACAAACCTCCTAATTCAGGCCGGAAAATACTGTAGCAAGCCTGATATACTAATACTAACCGTAAACACTAAACAATGCAAAGTCCAAAACAAGTTGGTGTCGCACGCGGACACGACGCTGCCACACCACACGCGTCTCTTGACTCAGTCCCACTCAGCAAACAATCTCGTCACCCTCATGTCGGCTCGAGCCAATCCTAAGTTCCTAACCCTGATTTCTTCTTTTTTCTGAAAAATCTTGAATCCTTCAACGGTCAACAGTCAACACGTCCATTCTCCTTCCTTCCCCACCTTGCCTGCAAATTAAAGTTTGAACCTTTCTCTTCATTCCTTGTGTATATTATTATATGCATGTTTCTTTATTAATCTTTTTCTTAACCAATCTTCGCTTTGACCCGCTTATTATGTATGACTCAAGCGTCTTCTTGTCCCTATAAATACCCCCATCTCATAGATTCATTGCTCAGTTCAAATCGCAACCTTCAATATTCAACAATTATAACTTACCTACAAACGTACAACAATCAATTTCACGAATACGGACTGATTTGTTTCGGTTTTTGAAGATAGTACAAGCATGGTTTTGTCAGGAACGCTAAGGAAAGTTTTCCGACGTGCCCACAAAGAGAAATGCCTTCCCGGCGGTGAGCTTGACTTGGAACCTGTGATTCCGATGCATTTCCGGTGCCCGGTGAGCCTAGAAATGATGAAAGATCCGGTGACATTGTGCACCGGAATCACCTACGACAGGGACAACATCGAGAGGTGGATTGAATCTGGGAACAACACCTGCCCCGTGACCAAGCAGGTTCTTTCGAGCACTCAAATGATCCCAAATCACGCCATTCGAAGAATGATCCAGGACTGGTGCGTCGAACACCAGTCTCACGGGATTGAAAGGATCCCCACTCCGAGGATCCCCGTTGCACCGTACGAGGTTTCGGAGACTTGCTCGAGGATAATCGTCGCCGCTCGTAATGGGGATATCAAAAGGTGCCAAGAATTGCTGGGGAAGATTAAGAATTGGGGTAAAGAGAGTGAGAGGAACAAGAGGTGTATAGTGGAAAACGGTGCTTGTGCAGTGTTAGCCTCTGCTTTTGATTCCTTCTCACGTGGTTCCATCGAGGAAAACGAGGAAGTTCTAGAGATGATATTGGAGGTACTCCCATGGATGATGAATCCATCACGAGAGGATGCAAGATCGAAATTGAGGTCTGAAGCATCTTTGAATTGCTTGGTTTGGTTTCTGAATGGGAACGACCTTTCAGCGAGGCAAAATGCAGCCATGGTGCTCAAGGAAATGCCTGTGAGAACTCTGGCTAAAACTGAAGGCATAATTGAAGCTTTGGTGAAGATGATTAGAGAGCCTATAGGACCTAATGCAACAAAAGCAAGCTTGACAAAGATTTTCCAGTTGGTTTCCTCATCTGATGACAACGAGAGAATCTCACAGAGATTTGTGGAATTGGGTTTGGTTTCTTTGTTGCTGGAGGCCATTGTGGATGCAGACAAAAGTCTATGTGAGAAAGCTATGGGTGTGTTGGATTGTATCTGTGATTGTAAAGAAGGGAGGGAATCAGCCATGGCTAATTCTCTAACCTTGCCTCTTGCAATCAAGAAGATCTTAAGAGTGTCAGCGCTGGCCACTGAGTTTTCAGTGTCCATTCTTTGGAAGCTCTGTGATAAGGAAGATGAAGAGGTTCTTGTTGAGGCAGTTCAACTTGGAGCTTTTCAGAAGCTCTTGGTTTTGTTGCAGGTGGGCTGTGAAGAAAGCATGAAGGAGAAGGTCACTGAATTGTTGAAACTGTTGAATGCTTATAGAAGCAAAGCAGAATGTGTGGATTCATCCTTGGATCTCAAGTACCTTAAGAAGCCCTTCTAATTCTTGCATTTCATCAGATTTTCATTCATTCCATTCTTTTTTGTACAAACAATAGAGACAAAACACAATGTAGAAACTACAGATATACAATGCTTCCAAATTGATTCATTCAGTTGAAACTTGACAATTCTTTTTTATATTGATTCCTGTACAATAAGCGAGCCTGGAATAAAATGATTTCCTTTTATTCATCATTCCCCTTTCGTTATATCCATACATGGTACATCTGAACCAGCTTTTCCTATTTATATCAATGAAATCCATGTAGTATCTATGATAATTGATAGGTGTGATATTTACATATATATATATATATATATAGAGAGAGAGAGAGAGAGAGAGAGATTTGCACTAAGCCAATAGAGTCCATTGATTTCAACTAACCAGCACCATTGACGATGCAGATTAACGACTCTGAAACAACATAAATCAGAAACTTAAATAGGTAGACTAGACCATGAAGCTTTATTACTTCAGCTGCGGAAATCTAAAGACGAGAGCATTACTGACAACAAACATTAAATAGAAAACTTAGAGATAGATCTAATCTACAAAAGAAATTTTGTAGATTAGATAAATCATGAATAGACATGTAAATAAGTCGAGGCTTGCCAAATTTACGTATCTATTCATAATCAACTCTGCTTCATATTAATTGCAGCCTAGTCTACTTAGAAATGGCCTCTTGATGTTTGTCAAAAGTAAAAGGGGCTAGGCCAAGCATTGTAGAGATTGGCTTCTCCAAATGGCAGAGTCTCATCCCCAGCACAGCTCATCAGTTCCATAAAATTCTGCTGTCTCTGCAATGTGCTTATGCTCATCTCCATTATCCCCTTGCCATTGTTACGATCTTCTTCTCCTGCTTGTGCTTGTCCCTGAATTTGAATTTGGATTTCATCATTCTGAGGTTCAATCTCCAGTGCCTCCATCCTCCTGCAGATATCCTTCAGGTTCAGTTCAATCACCCATGACAGATCATAGAGATCATTGACAGTCATATTCTGCAGAAAAATCCCAGTGCTCATGAAGTGATACAGGATCTGGGCAAGCTCTTTCTCCCTATTGTTCTTCCTCATCTTCTTCACCTGCTCACTCACTTTCTGGATCCTTTCCCTGGTGAAGCTCATCTGGTTCATCATCTTCTTACACTGCTCCATCTCCGGAAGCTGTCTGAACCGCACGAGGGTGCTCTGGGCTTCCATGGAGGAAGGCCAAACCTCAGGCTCAGATTCATAAGGACTGTAAATTATCATACATGCTTCAACCCCACAAAGGGTGGTCAGTTCACTTGCCTTCTTCACCATACCATTCTTCCTCTTCTTGTATGTTGTCTTCCTCGCAGAGTCATTGACAATGAATGCGAGCTGCACCTTCCTCCTGGTCATGGTGTTGATATCAGAGAAGAAAACCAGAGGGAACAAGGAGGAGATTGAAATGGTTGTGTGGTTTGGTTTTGGTAGCAGTATGAGGTTTATATAGATGAATTTGGTGGGGATGTGCACAACATTTTGTGAGGAATTCTGTGTGCTGTAAATGAAAGGGCCTCTCAATAAATTCTGAGGTTAAAATATTTTACCATAAATGCAAGATACAGAAAATCCGAACTTTAATTCTCAAATATTTAAAAAGTTGGAATGAATGGGAAATTCATTGGGATGAGGTGGTTTCTGGTGAGAAAACTTCCTGTAATTGAAATATGGGAAAATGAAAATAAATTCCTACTAAAATATATAAATAATAATCAGATTTTTTAAAATGTCATAATTTCTCTAAAATTTTTGAATACCTTCCTAACATTCATAATATTAGGTTAAATGGTTATTCCTTGTTTAAAATAAAAATAACGGGTTTAGTTTTATTTTTTCAATTATAACTTTTGTTGAAACAATAATAACTTTTGTTCTATGAATTGCAAAAATTAAATAGAAAAACATAATTGTTCACGTAAAATTTCTCTTATATAAACAAGTTTTGAGAGTAACTAGTCATAATCATAACTTTTGTTTAAGTATTCATAACTTTGATTTTATGAATTGTAAAAATTAAATAAGAAATTATAACTTCTCATGTGAAATTTCTTTTATCATTGAAGTTTAAGTTCTGAAAATAATCAGTCACAACTTTTGTTCAAGCAATTATAATTTTTATTCTGTGAATTGCAAGAATTGAATAAAAAATCACAACTTTTCACAAATTTTTTTTTATTATTGAAGTTCAAACTCTAAAAATGATCAGTTACAACTTTTATTTAAATAATCATAATTTTTATTTTGTGAATCGTAATAATTAAATAATAAATCACAACTTTTTACGTAAATCCATTTTTGTCTATAAAGTGGAGAGATTTGTATTTGCTGATTTGTGTTATCATATATGAGTATGTGAAAATGAATTTTTGATACTCATTCCATTTTTTTTTATAAGATAAATTTATATATTTATAACTCACTTCTGACATATTTTTCTAAAATCAAGTAAAAGAAAAAATTTATGATAAAGATTTAATGATATGACTTACAAATATAGCATCAAAATAATTTTATCTATCCATCTTATAAATAGGATTGAAGGAAGTATGTCTTTAAAATTATCACATCTTTCCATAAAAATTCTTATTGAATAATCTTCTCTCACATTCTCACACTCTTTTAATTAATTTAAAACATCTTTTTTAGGGGCATTTTAAAAAAATAGTAATTAACGTCAGGATTTTACAAAACATTTTATAAATAGGAAGGAAAATTTCTTCTGAATGATATTTTTATGATTTTTGAAGAGTAGATGTCTACTGCTTTGTGTAATACTTAAAAAGAACTATTTTCTTTTCATCAATGTATCAAATGTCCGTAACCCAAAAATATCAAAGATCTGTGCGCTGTAATTTTAAAAAAGATTTTCCTTTCAATTAGTTTTCAAACTCTTTATGTTCTCTAAAAATTAGTTCAAGTGGTTTAACCGTTTTTAATTTTGAGCAATTGAGAAAACTACCGCTAAAACTATATATATATATATATATATAAATTAAAAACTATATATAACTATATAATATATATATATATATATATATAATTTGACTCCATTCCAATTAGTTGGGACAATTTTACTTCTACAAACCATTGATACTGCAACAAAAAAACCCTAATTTAGAAACAATACATGTATTTCCATTTTTTTTTAGCAAAACATTTATTTCCATGTTTAAACCCCCACTTTATCATAAAAACAATGTGTAATAAATTTTATTTTACTTTTTTGGAGAAAGATACTTATTTTTTTTTAATCCATGTTTTTGCATACATACCATCAATTGAAGTGGCCAAAACCTCATTTTAGTCATTTTTTAGTTTTGCTTCTATCCCTTCTAAAAGAAATCTTCATTTTAAACTCTCATAGAAAACATCAAACAATGGCTGGTTTTCAATATGCATTTAGTTCTTGTTTTGTAATTATTGCTATTAATGACGCAATTATTGCAGTGAACTAAGATACAGTTAATCAATGAATATTCAATTATATTATAAGCATTTCTGAATAAATAAATCAAAAAATAATTATTGTTGCTGATTTTTTTTAGGAAATATTTAACATTTATAGGTAGATTTAATGGTAATGGATATGGTATAAGTGAATCCAAAGCTAATTTGTATGTTTAATTATGAAATGTGCTTTTTCAGATTCATGTTTGTTTCCATTTAAATTTGTAATCAGTAGTAAAAATGTTGGATTCTCTATTAAATGAATTAAATATAGGGATTCCTTTCACAAGAGAAAAAAGGGAAAAGAAAAGGAAAAATTCCATTTTTATACGTGTATAAATGCATTCATCAAAGAATATCTTCCTTGAAAATAATAAATGTTGGATTTTTACATTCAACCAAAAAAGGAAAAATAATAAATATTCAATAAAAAACATATGTTTCACAAAAATTTTCTTTCAATTACAATTTTTATATCACAATATATATTTGCAAGAGAAAATATGTTATTGAAATGAGAATGTCCTATAGTTACTACTTGATTAAAGATAGTTATTTTTATAACTGAAACATTTTATCTTACAATCACAACTGTGACTTTTTTCTTTGTTTTAAAATCTATAACTTCATTGTTGAAATTCAAGCACTTCTAACTTGGGAATGGGCAGTACGTAGTCAGCGAATTGTGATAGATGATAATGAAGTTGCTAATATACTTGCCAAGATGGCTCTGTCATATGTTGTTAGGTTTTATCCTCTGTTTTCTTCTTCCTCTAGCTTAGATGTAAGTTTGGTTCAAGACATTCGTAATATTGTCTAATGTCTGTTTTTTCCCATGTTTATCCCAACAAAAAAAATTATAACTTCAGAGAAAAAATCTGACCACTCAATAAGTGATAAGATTGAAGATAGTTCATCTAATAAGCAGGAGTTATGTTCGATGCCTATGTCTACTTTCAAGTAGACTTTTATGTGTGTCTCAATGTTTGACGGTTTGGAACTTTATTTTTATACTAACCTTTTTTCATATAATTTAATAGGTTAAATGTCATTTTTGCCTATCAATTTTATCCAAAAGTTCATTAGAGATCCTAAATTCAATTATCAATTTTGTTACTCAACTTTAAAGATTTTCTTCCTTATCACCCTGTCATTTTTTTACCCTTAGTTGACTATTAGTAAGTTTTATATTACATTTTTTAACATTTTTATTGTAAAATATTTGAGTTGAGAGTGCTCATTGACTCTTAGAATAAAAGTTAAAGGGTAAAAATGACTCTTAACCCAATAAAAAATATTAAAAATAGTGAAATACATTGATGACTATCGAACGTTAAGTGTTTTTAACATTAAGTAACAAATGAGGGAATCTTTTTTCATTGAGGGACATAATTAACTTGTAGTTGAGTTTAGGATTCTAATGATCCTTCAAGTAAAATTGAGGGGCAAAAATGACCCTTAACTCTAATTTAATTTATTACTTAACCCAAAAAAAACTAGGAAGATATGAGAATTTGAAAGTTAAAATTCATGTTCAATTTACCATATGCTGATATTTAATTGAGTTGAACTTATTTTTCCGTGAAAATTATATAAATAATGAAATGTTTCGTCTCTCAAATTTATCTCAATTAATTTAATTCCTGAATTTAACCTTTATTAATTAAGTTCCTAAAGTTTTATAATCATGTATATTTAGTGATTGTTGTGTTATTTTCCTTTTAAATCTTAAGGATTAACTATGTATGATTATGAAACTTTAAAACTTTGACTGATAAAATTTAAATTTCAGGAACCAAATTAATAATGCCACAGATGTTAGAGACTAAAAGTTTTACTATCCCAAAATTATAATATAAAAAGCTAAGTTGTGCAAAATTCTCTTAAAATTTAAAATATATGTGATTAACTGGCTAACAGTGACGGACTACTTTTGAAAGTTTATGGAAGAGTATGGTTATTTTTACATATGGCCTAAAATTAAGGGAAATTATAGACATTACACATTGATTTTCTTTCCTTCTGTTGGCAGGATCGGGAATACAAGCCAAGCCTATCAGGCTATCTATTTGAAACCTTTTTTAAACATTTGGGCTTTGAAAATTGCAGTATTTTTGTACACAAAACTCTCTAAACCCGGTCCTCTAAAGTCTTGAAAAACGGATCAAGCTAACCGCTTAAATCCATATTTATGTTAATCAAATTGTGAATCGTATCTACTGGCCATAAATTTTGGAACATTTTAATTTGTATTTTAGTCTTAGAAGATAAATATATGATTTAATAATGACATTTAATTTTAAAAAATAGATCAAAAATAAAATCGAAGAGAAATGCCCAATCAATAAGGGATTGCGGTTACTTTCTCCTTCATATTAAATTACTGTCTTATCCGTAAACAGCAAACAAAAATTAAAACAAAAATGAAACAACTCTGAATAAACACATAGGACCCAAAACTTCGTAAAAGTCCAAATCAAAATAAAACCTTCTGTTCACTCCCTCATGCTATCCTCCTCATCTTCCTCCTCACTCAGATCAAGATCAGCCATCAACTCCTCCAATGGAACAGAAGGTAGATCTTCACCATCAGTCACTGAAGCCATCTCAGATGGCTGATATTCCCTATTCCGATACAACGATATGTTGAACCTCAGATCAGGATTTTCTTCCAGATCGCGCAGGAATTGTTCGTACTCAGAGTTAATCTTCTCGTCGTCAGCTTTACCCTTATCATCAACTTCCATGTCAAGGGATTTAAGCTTCCATGCACGAGACTTCCCACGCTTCCTAAGGCGCTTCTCTTCATAGCTTTTCTTCACTAAAATGGCTTCAGGGAGCACGAGTCCTCTGTACTTGTCCAATTCAATGTCATTATTATTGGCTGCATATAAATCATAACCAAGAGCGTGATCTCCAGGATTTAAAAGATGACCTAGATGTGTCCTGATCGAAAATAGTGTGTCATTCTTCCCAAAATCTGATACACGAGCCACTTGTGCATCTGCTAAAACATATTTCGTACCACCAACAACAACTTCAGAAGAGACAGGCTCCACATCTAGCACAATATATTCCACTAGCTGCCTGCTGGTAAGTAATGACTTGAATGATGTCCTCCAGTATTGATCAGCATCCAAGAAACAGTGCCTCAGCGTGAAAGGATCAAGCAAAGCAATGCTATTGGTGACTTTTGTACATATTACAAGAGGGCCAAGGTTTCCCAAACTAACCGCAACTTTGGGAGGCAAACAGATTAAATCCTCACGGCAGATGGGGGAAATTTCAACCGAAAAAGTATACTTATAATTGTAGTTATTACTTTTAGGATCATGAGAAACAAGCTGCTTGTCATGACGACTCCTTACTGGAGCAACTTTTCCTATAAATTCTACAAATTTCACACCATGACTTCGATTAGAGAAAAAGAAGTCAATACCTTGATCCATCTGCTTTATTCTAATAGCACTAGCAGCTGCACCATGCCTCAAAATCAGTTGTTCCAAATAAAAGAAAGTTCGCCTATGAGTAACATGTTGTCTAAGTTGGACAGCAGCAACCCATTGATCAGGGTTAGCCTGAATCCTAGAACAAGATTCACACATATGTTCTTGCTGCACGTACTCAATAGGATAAGACTGTTCAAGAATTGCCCCATTCAGAACCTCTTTCTGAACTACGACCTTGACTTTTATCCTCTTGGAGTGGGGCTCAGTCCATATAAATTCAGCATGCTTTAATCTTACTTTATTTGTATTGAAGTTTCGTTTCAGCTTATTCAAACAGAATGTAAGCAGCTCCTTTGATTCTAATTGTGCTTTGATCCAAGTTCTTGGTGGCTGAAGGTAGCTATCACACTCAGGGCAATGTACTAGGATTAGATGCTTCAGTAATCCTTCAGTGATATCAACTTCTGAACGCAAACACTTCACACACATATTGGCAGCATTTGGTTGCATGGGAATTCCACATTTGCAACACAAAACACTACCAATGGTCTGATGAACCGTAAACATACCAGCCTCTTCTGCCATGCCTGATGGCTGTAACATGGTGGTGAGAGAAGTTGATGATCTTGAAAAATGTCCTGCTCAAATAGGGGAAGAATGAAAATACATGAGTTTGCATATCCAAAATAGATGGAGCGCTATAGTTTAGAAAATTCATAGTATGAAAAAGAAATTATAATAAGGGGAGATTTTTTTTTTTAAGAAAAAAGAACAACATATGCCAAAAATATTTTCATTTTAAAACACAAAGTTGACAAGCATGACTAACGACTGGCCAAAACGCTATTTCCAATATTATTTTCCTTGTTAAGAAGCTATTTCCAATATTATATTCTCCAAAATCAGATTTCTTCTGTGTTAGTCCTCTAGAATAGAGCGACGAAAAAAACTCAGGCATAAATTATACAACAAATGTTAACCAGATGCACACTCCCTACAGTAGTTGATCAAAGAAACTTTTTCAACTAGAATATGCATGTCAAATAGTGAGATAAGGCAAAAAGCAAAACAAAGCTAATCAATTGAATTGCAAGATTACATATGTCAAGCCCCAAATTGTTGTCATAAGATCAAATATGTCAAGTGCTTTAACTGAACGTGATTGAATTAGTTAAATACATCTGCAAGTGCTCTAAAGTTCATGTAAAGTATGTGTTACTTTCATCCCCAACTCTTATTACCGTAATACTCGAAGCTCTTAGCATATTTGATTTTGGATTTATCATAAAACCATAACTCTTTTTTTTTTTCTAATAGTATATCTCATAGACTTTTTGACCTTCAATAATACATCTCATAATTTGAACCTATCATTTATTAATCACTATGATATCCACAATGCCTCTCTTCCATTTCCCCTTATCTCACATATTTCTAAAATTCCAAGTGTATACATGCAAATATCTACAGCAGGATACTACATAGATTATAAATACTAAAAGCTCTGTAAAGAAACAAATAATACCTTTAAACCCAACGATATGTATTAATAATATGGCATGCAAACAAAAATCACAAAATGTAACAATACCAACAAAACTAAAAAAGTCTGTTATCTTTTTCTTTCTGTCTTATCATGCATCATGCATGCTCCGATAAACCAGTCTTGGACATAAATTGAAAAAACATTTTTTTGATAGAAAAAATTTTTTGAGAATGAAAATAGATACAACAACGAAGAAGGAGGACAAGGAATCCTCCCAATCGAGGGAAAATATCTGAAAATTATTAGGTCACAAGACCTTAGCAGTCTCTAACAATCCAAAATCAGAAAATCGCGTAACCATAGGCGGACCTATACTACTCTCAGTGGGGACATCTGGCCCAACTGAAATCTTAGAAATATTCATAGTTGATATAATACCCTTTTAATTTTTGTTCCAGATACTTTGACACAACTCCAGCCAATTCGTTTACACGATCATACATCACAAATACCTTGAGAATTTTCCAAAATTGATGATAATATAAAAAGATTAATGAACAGAATACCAATACACAACAAGTCCAACATTGCAAAACAACACAATACAAATCATGCAAGTCGCCTAATAATCAAAATGAAGAGGGAAGAAGTATATAGCCAATCACACACCATTCAAGCAAAAACTAGTGCCCAGAAAAAAATAATAAACTCAATATGTAAATATTCCCAAATTCAAAAGCGTCAATATTCAACGACAGCACGACAAGATTCAAAGCCAAATTAAAATGAAAAATTTAAAACAAAGCAGGAACAGCCACGCAGGGTACAGATGACGCGTGGAACAAATTCAAATCTAGATTCAAAGCCAGATTGAACAAATCAATCTCACCGGATTTTGGGAGTAGAAAAAGCCCTAGGGTTCGAACCTTCGTAGTTGCTTGCACGAGAACTCACGACGGTAAATGGCGTCCAACGGAATGTCGGGTGCTTCTTCGTCCACGAAGAAAACTGAATACGCCGCTACTCACGAGAGCGGCAGCAAGGACGTCGAAGAAGGGTTGGGAGCTTGGGTTTGATTATATCGAATTGCTATCGTCGGTTGGCGGGTCGGCTGGAACTCTTTCGACTTTCGCTCAAATCTTTGGGCTGTTTTTTTGGGCCAGAAAAATTTAGGCTGTTATTGTAGCCTTATAGGATCTTTTTTAAGGAAAAAAAAGCTAAAAGCAAGTTTTGGGAAGTTAACTTGATATCGCATGCCAGCCATTAATCAATTTTCAGACTTAAAAATATAATTTTATGAAAATATATTCAAATAAATTTATATATATATGAAAAAATAAATTATAAACTTAAAAAAATTTACAAAGTAGAGTTTATTTGACGTTTAGATAAATTTTTAAGAAAATATATTTGAAAAGATAAATTAAAATGTAGGAAACACTAACTTATAAGATATCATTCCTAGTTTTATGTTCAGAATTAATTTTGATATGTATATTGATAAAACATTATTTAAATTAATTTTTAATTTCGCTTTTCAATCATAATCAAAGGGTTCATTTGTTTAACATTAAAAAATAATTTATTTTTATTCCGTTTATAGATTTTATAAAAAGATATTTATATTTTGCAAAGATTTTATTATTTTATATTTGATTAAAATAATAAAAATTAATTATTATAGAATTATTTTTATTTTATGATATTTTCTTGATTCTCTATTTATAAAAATAGTTTATTATTTATTTATTTTAAAAAAGTTATAATATCTTCATGTATTTTCACATTTTTATGACGTTATTTTCTCTCCTATCTTATTATATTAAATTATTTTTAGAAGCTATTTAGAGTTTTTTTTCAAATAATCATAGATCTATTTTTAAAATTTTAAATATTTTAAAATTTTAAACAAACATCATAAAATTTCACAAAATAGATTTTTTAAAAACATAATTCTTTCTTATAAAGAAGGCTTAAATAAAGGGGTGCAAAATTAATATTATTAAATAATTTTTTAAATAAATTATATTTAAAGTCTATCATATAACTCAGTTATCCGTAATCAATTATATCAAATGTTGATCCAAGCATATCTTTAAGTGAACTCAAAACACTGTTTATAGGTAAAAACCAATTTTCACATATGCTGGAAACCAAACAGCACCCATGCTCAGCAAAATATGTTTTTTCTTTTGGTAACATTCAGCATAACACGTCCCTTGTAACACCCTCAAATTTACAAACTGATTTTTCACAAATTATTAATTCAACAAATTATTTTTTTTTCATTAAACCCTTATCATACCCTTATCATGGTAGAAAAATTTCTACCATGATACATCTAAGACAACATATCACAGGTCTTAAAATATCTCAAAAAAGCAATTAGAACTATGAGGGACAGACAGGATACTCATGTCATGATATTCAAATCAGATCATAAATCAAGAGGGACAGACATAATCCTCTTGGTCATATAAATACTTTTAATAAAAAGGATTAGAGTTTACATGCTTCACAAAAAAGATATGTCCTAAGTTGGCACAAGATACATTGTATAATCTAAAATAAGAGGCAACGTAAAAGATGGTGTCTCATACACCAGTTACACCTTTGGTGCTTTCTCGGCCGGACTCGCTCCTGTAAAAATATTAACCACGGGGAATGAAACTTAAAAGTCCTAGTAACCAAAAATTAATATGTAATGATGCATGCGGATGTAAACTAATCATGCGATTGCTAAGTGGGCACACAAAACATTTAACCGAACAATACTTTCAAACAAACCGAACAAGTATTTAATTTGCATGACTGCACCTTATATCCTCCTTTCATCATGCTCGGACGCCAAATCACCCGGCCAAAGGTGAGTTGGACCAAGCGACACGCCACTCATTGGGTCCAATGAGAGCTTACCACATGGTAATAATTAACCGAACAGAAATTCCCATTAACACCATACATTAAAATACCCTGACAAGTCATGCATCATTCAAATATTCAAACAGGAATATATCCGAACAATAATATCTCATCATGATAAATAAAAATAAATTTTTGACCCACTTGGCAATAATTTCAAACAAGTATATAACAGTATTTATTTTCAATAATTCATAGTTTTTCCAAACAACAAGTCAACACATAATCATTCACAAACACACTCATCACAACACATTAATAATCGTTACCTTGTGTCTTGAATAACAAGTTCCCCTTCACAACTCCTTTTTCACCACTATCTTTGTCAATATAATCTACATAATTATTTCACAATACTATATATTAATTTTACATTAAAATAAATAACTCTAATTTAAAGAGTTAGAAAGTCTTAGATCTATAATCCATATTAATACTAATTTAAGATTTATGCCTCATTTAACTTTCCAAATTCTTTTTCTAAAATTTTCGTACCCTAATAAACTATTTTTTTTGTCCTCAAATCACTTCTCATATCACAATTTCATCCCTCTATATTCTAAAAATTGTCCAAAAATAAATTAAAAATTTTAGAATTATCCTGAAGCCTCAAATCACCTTTCTATAACCTCAAAAATACCTATTCATACTTAAATAAATATTTAATAATCATAGATTTATTCCTACATCTCAGATTCCACATAAATTCAACCATATAGATCTAGATTTTAACTCAAAAATTCTTAAACATGAGTTTTAATCTCAAAAAAATATTCTATAATATTTATTATATCCCTAAGAGTTTTAACCTATATTTTTAATCCATCATATCATCAGATTAACTATCATATTGAAAAATCCTAATCAGAATATTTACTCTATCCTACAAAATAATCATATCACTAGAAAGCTAATATTATTTAGAAAATAACAATAAAATTAATTTTGTAATTAAATAAATTTTTAAATGCTAATCTAAATAGGAAAGTTAGAACATACTTGAAGAAAAAGAAAATAATCCCCCCTTGCAAGAAGACGCCGAGCAATGTGAGAGGAAGAGAGAAAAATAATATAAAAATGGGATTGTGGGTCCCAAAATTATATTAAAAAAAATTATAGGTTTGAATTTAATTATTCAAACCTTTAGACCATTACTTGCAATTTTCTCTAAATTGCATCTTGGACCCTTAATTGTAATTTTTACAATTGTATAAACTTTTCTTTTCTTCCTTCCTGCACATTCTCGCTTTCTTTTATACATGAGGAATCCTTTCCTCATCCCACATCTAACCGATGTGGGACTTCTACACCCCCCTTCTTTTTTTTTTACTTTCTTTTCTTTTTTTTTTTAAACTCACACACACATAATAATTTTTTTTAAATCTTAAAATTATATCTTAACAAAATATTTCTTATATAATTTTAAACCTAAGTTTTTAATTCATAATTAAATTTCTAACCATATTATTATTTTTGAATAATCTCAAATAATATAAATTTCTATTATTATTATTTATTTATTTTTTTAAATAAAAATTTAAATTTCACAACAATTTTTTTTATCTAAAAAAAATCAGGATGTTACATCCCTCAAGGCCCATGTCTTGTGTTTTAGAGGCCACGTCCTATGTCAACGATTTCGTAATTTAGTAGCATGTAAACTTTTTTATAAGTGAAAAGTCATATGTCTGATCCCGCTTGTAACATGCTATTAGTGTTTGCTCTTCTAATTTAATAAAAGAGGCTGCATTATATCTCATAAGCCCATGAAAGTCCTGGGGTTTGCTTTAATCATATAACAACTTCTTGGTACTAAAAATTGAAAACATAATTACACTAACTTGTTCCAAAACACATATGTTCGCATTCAAATAAATTAATTTTACACTGTCCTTCTTAACATCCTAAACAAGCATGGAGTAGAGCAGATTCAAACTCATAAAAGAAGAATGCCTCGGGAGCGAGGCAAGTGGTCCGCAAAATCGGTTAGAAATGATTTAGTTTATGGGAGATGTTGGGGTCAATGACTCTACATCGAGAAAGAGGGAGAAGGTAGAGGAGTTGATTTTTTTTTTTTCCAATCTGTTTAAGAACACTAAATTAGAGGTGTTAATTATAAGAAATAAAATATTTTTGGAATAGATTTGATGTTCAAGAACATAAAAAAAATAAGGTTTTGCTGATAATGCATTTCTAATGCATAAAGTTGGTAATCCAAGTAGGTCATATTTATTTAATTCGAGTTTAAAATACCTAACTATATATATATATATATATATAGAGAGAGAGAGAGAGAGAGAGAGAGAGAGAGAGCTATATAACGAACTCTGACCTTAATTCTCAAGCTTTCAAACTTATTTGAAGTTAGCTCCAATACTCAAATATTGTCAAAGATTGTTTTATTTTAGGGATAAGGTTTATTTTTGGGACTCTATATTGAGAAAGAGGGAGAAGGCGGTGGAGTTGATTTTTTTCCAATCTGTTTAAGAACACTAAATTAGAGGTGTTAATTATAAAAAATAAAATATTTTTAGAATAGATTTGACGTTTAAGAATATAAAAAATAAGGTTCTGTTGATAATGCATTTCTAATGCATAAAGTTGGTAATTCAAGTAGGTCATATTTATTTAAATTGAGTTTAAAATACCTAGCTGTATATATATATATATATATATATAAAGCTACATAGTGAACTCTCACCTTAATATCTCAAGCCTATTTGAAGTTAGCCCCACTACCCAAATATTGTCAAAGATTGTTTTGTTTTAGGGATAAGGTTTACTTTTATCGCACAAATTTTTTTCTATGAGCGGTGACTATTTTGTACTAATAAATAAGGTAATTTTTACTTGAACAATTTTTTCAAGGACACAAAAACCATTTTTATTGGTCACTCATTAACTTTGTCATTTTTTACTGATGTAACATATGCGTAAGGCTCACTCATAATGAAAGGTAGGACTTTAGCAATGTCCCTTGATGCTAATTTGTACTTGAACATTTTTCTAAGAACGTTACACACCCTTGAAATCTTTTTTTAAGAAAACTGAGTACCTTGAAGTTTTGCTAAAATAAAATTTAATAAATATTGTTAAAATATTTAATATTTTAATATTTAATAATTTAAATATTATTATTTATAAATTGGAA